GATTTTGATCAAGGCCGATTTTGGGTGTTGGTTGAGAGCTATGGTAGAGGCTGTTTCAGAGGGGGGATTGATGGGGGTTTGGCTTCTTTCACTGTTGTGAAGGTGTAGGGCCAATCTATTGGGGGTTTGGTGCTGTGTAGGTTGAGATTAAATTTTTTTTTGGTTTCGGGCAGGAATTCAAACCCAAAATTGGATTGCCATGGTGGATTTCGGAGGGGGAAATGGATTGCAATGAACTAAGGGTCTCTTAGAGAAGCTCTCTGAGGAGTTTGGAAGGCCTCAGTGAAAATTTTTTCCCATACCCCTATTCATGGCCGTGGGGGTTGATTTTATAGAAATGCTTACCATCTTGACAATTCTTTCTATTATCAAAAATGATTATATAAAGAATAAATCCCCTGAAAACATTAATTTTTTTATTCAACAGATCGAACATTGCCTATACACCAAGGATAAATATCTCATCTAATCTGATTCCGTCATGGCTCAAGATAAATTCATGAAATATACCATTCAAGGAAGAACGGTTACATAAAAAAAGAATTACCATCTTGACAATTCTTTCTATTATAAAAAATGATTATATAAATAATAAATCCCCTGAAAACATTAATTTTTTTTTATTTAACAGATCGAACATTGCCCATACACCTAGCAAAAATATCTCATATAATCAGATTCCATCATGGCTCAAAATAAATTCATGAAATGTACCATTCAAGGAAGAACGGTTACATAAAAAAAGAAAAAATTGAATATTTGAATTGGTATTTAAGAACAATCAACTCTCGCCAACCCGCCCACGCTTCGTCAAACCATCCCCCTTCATTTAAAAAACACACGAAAGAAAAAATCAAACCTTTGAAAATTTTCAATCTCCCATCTCAGCTCTCCACCTCCCTCCTCATCCGTTCTCCTTCCGCCATTAATCCTCTTTTTTTCTGATCTCCAGTCCACGCAGGCGCCGCCCCAATAGACCAACTTATCCCCCACTTCGCAAGCCAACAACTTTCTCCATCGTTGACGGAAGAGCAGCTGATCGTTTCACAACACAGACAACAGAGATCGATGAAGCTCTGGATCAAAATAATCTCCGCCGCCATCCCCACCGCCGGCCTCCTCCTCCTCCTCACAATCCTCCTTATCC